TTTTCGAGAGTTATTTATATCTTTTCGGTGATAAATGGATATCACCTTGGCAAGCTCTTGGCCACGTCCAAGTTAGGTTCTACCGTGCTTCTTCATGCAGAAAACAGTTTAGTGGCCAGTAGCCCCATTTATCGTCTATTGCGGATGCACCGTGGGGCCATAAATAAACAAATTGATTGCGCTTCAAAAATTTCCTCGGTTCATAAATCTCTTATCAAGATTTAGCGAAAGTATGATACTTTCATACCATGCTTTTCGAAATTACTACCTTCGTACAGAGATTAAACTGCTTCTTGAGCAGTTTAATCTTTAAAAAAGCTGATTGTAGAGCGAGTTTTCAATCAGTTTTGCTTCTCCGCTACAAATATTTCATTCTCCAATTTTTATATCAATTTTCTACGCGAAGTAATGCGTAACAAAAATACAAAAATTTCTTATTTTTAAAATTCCCTTGGTCTTATAATCCGTGTTTCCAAATGTGTTCTCAGTGAGTGTAAATGTGGCTCACCTAAAAATATGCAGTAAATTAGCCTGTGTCAAGGACTTGGTTGATGAAAACTTCTTCGATCGTGCAACTTTCAACTAATATTTCTCAAACCATACACTGAGATGGTTACTATGGTGTCTAACCTCGTGTTTCAGGCCATTCGGCGAAAATTCATTCCCTGGAAGAAATCAGGAGCTTGTTTTAAAGTTGTTTTACAGTCGAGGTTTCGAAGTATCGAGCTAACCCTCGAAAAGTTCCATCGGAGTGTGTTTCGTGAAACTGTTGTAAACTTAAAATAGAGGACGATATTCCCACTTTTACAGGAGAAAAGAAAAAGGAAATTGATGGATGTACACGGAGAATAAAATTTGCATAATATCAAGGAGCATCTCTGAAGAAGTACTTTACCTAATTACTTTCCGATCAATTCATAAATAATCTTCCAATCTCTAATTATAATTTGTCCTGTTCGAGATATTGAAATAAATAGACAATAGTTTGTCGACGAACATTTTGCAGTATTTGTTATTATCTGCAGCGAATGTATATAACGAGAGAAGAATGTGCGTGGAAATGGAAATGCCAATTAAACGTGAAACGATACCACGATGGAATGGAGGATGAAAGTTTCACAATTTCATGGGTGACGTTCGAGCATGCACACGAGCGTGCAAGAAATAATCGCAACTTCTAGCCGCCCTCGCACTGCGAAGGTGGGATGTGGCTTTTTTCGGTCAGTAACGAACCACAAAAATGGCTCGTTGGTATGTAGCCTGGTATTTTCTACGATAACGGACATATACACGGTTTGTAGCTGGTTGAGGTTTCCGAAAGCCCAACCCGATTTTCCTCTCCTCCGTTTCAAGATAACCACCATTTAAGCTGCTTGCGTATTTTACATTTTTATTTCGCATAATCGAACGAAACTTAGGAACGAGTAAATCTTCTACTTCATTTTCATGGAAACGTACCTAAAAATACGAAACAAAGTTTAGAAATGATCATTCTTAAAATATCCATACTCGTTTTAGAGGTTAGGAAACGTTTGTAAACAGGACTGAACGAGAATTTTAATCTCGTTCGAATGAATCTACGTATTTATCTATATTTTTTTTTGTAAGTGTTTATTTATAAACGTTTTGTAATTTGTAAAGTAATTATTTTGTACAGAAGTTCTGAGAACAATCATTTTCAAAATGGTGTTTATAATTTTCATATTCATAATTCCAGCACGAACAGAAACGTCAGAGGTCAGGAAATGTTCGTGTATGTTAATAGAACGCCTCTGCAGTGGCTTTTCTAAAACGTAATCTGAATCCAGAATGTCGAGCATTTTGAGATAAGCTTGCACGTTCGTATCATTCTTTGTTGTCAGCTGATGTGTACACTAGCATTTCTACTTTTTGCACTGTCCCTTTGTACCTGAAATTCCGAAGGGAACCAGATTGCAACAATGAACGCTATTGTTAATTGTGTCGTCGCCTCTGGATGGGGTCTTTGTTGAGGTTAGGTAGTCTTCTGGCGGTAAATTCAAAAACATATGATAGTGTACTAGAATTTATTAAGTTTTCTAAGATAATTCCTAATGCTTGATACTTAAAAATTCTTATCACAATTTATAGACGACTGCACGATTGAGGTTATATAAAATTACCAACGATTTTCGTCATATAAAATTCAAAATACCCAGAGCTCGGATTTCAGATTTACATAACTTAAATTTCGACATCCAATTAAGTTTAATCTCAAATTTAATTTAAACAGAATTTAACTATAAGTTAACCTAACCTAATGAACTTTTTAAATCAAATTGTTATTTTATTCATATTTAAATATATTATCGGTTTACCATGTATATTTCCGATAATTAAATAAATAAATAAAGGTTAATAAGGTTAATAGATCGAGAAACGGGAAAGATCAGATAGCATAAAATATTATGACTGATTTAAAGTGGCCAAACTTGGATGCAGAATGACCCTGTGACCGATTAAACAACGATCAGGAATTCCATTAGCATGGCAGAGTGCAAGCACCATTTCGATAGGTACCAGGCTACAGTCGGATCGTGCCTTGTATAATTTATTCGTGAACGTCTTTCACGAAGAGCGTTGTTTTTCCTTTAAACAATTATCTTTTTTGTTTACACCCTTGTATAATCCTTTCTTTTCTTACAGAATATGTTCTTCTTTTCGGAACCATAGCAATATTTTCCTGCATATTTTTCAATCTAGTGTCTACTTCGATGCAAAAATATTACCTTTTTAAATAGCTCAGTACTTTCCAATTATAAAATTTTGTATTACCATTTTTGATTAACCTCTTTATCGCATAAAAAAGACACTCTTTTAGTTTTCCATGGAATTCAAGTAAATATCCCAAAGCTTTATTTTTGGTCAAACATATTGCTAGAAATTAAGGTTGACTCGTTCGAATGACTCCTGTATTTGATCGTTGAGGTTATGTTTTGCCGCATTTTTAAGATAGTTTTTTCCGAGCAAAATGACTCCTATCCAGTGACTAAGAGTGATGAGGTCGCGGGATGTAATTTTCTTCTATTGCTTGAGTCTTTCTTTACGAGGATATCGCTCGGAAGGACAAAGGGCGCACGCTGCGCAGACGACGCCAGACGTCGCTGGATAATAAATCGATAATTCGCTCGTGCGACTCCCCTAGAAAAACCGCACGGGACACCATTGAACCCACTCGCAAAGCTTCATACCGAATTTCCACTTGAATTTCCTCGATTTTCATTTCCATCAAATTATCGAGGCTTAAACATGCATTACTTCTTTTTTAAATTTAAGCGAACGAAGTCATAAATTAGGTCTCGTAATCTAGAATAGAAAATAAGGAGAGGAAACTAAGATGCAAGTATGCGTTAATTGCATCTAGGTTAGGAAGCTTCAAATTTAAAAATGGCGCCATTAAAATCTCCTTACACAGAAAATTGCTAGTCACCGTATATAATGAGAATGAACTGAGCTTCGATTATTCTGGAAGCTCGCTACCCCGAACGTAAATTGATCCACAAAAACAATTTGAAAAAATTTGCGTATCCTAACCTCAAAATTAAAATTTTTGTCAAATTCAATTTCTATAAAAAGAGATAATCGCAATGCGAAAAGTCATTTCTTGTTTTCAAGTCTGCTTTTAGATGTTAATATCTCATAATATCTCTGTCTTGTTTAATTTCAGGAAAAATGAAGCTCGAACTGATGGACCGAAAGAAGGGCCTGGAGCTCTTCGCAAAATTTATACGAACGAAAAATGTGGAAGGTCTTCAGGGTGATCAGGGAAAAGCTGGACCCGATCCACTGCATCCGACTGATTCCAAGCAGAAATTACAGGCGAGTCTCTTCACGTTAACCTTTACTTTCCTTTGATCTCATTCGAACATAACCTCAAACGGCCCAACCCAACATAACCTACGCGTATGAATGAATACAGAAGTATCTTCATTTTGTCAAACGTATTTTCCCAATTAAAAGTATAAAAAAATAACATCAAATAATAGAATATACAAATAGATAAAAATCATTCAAATGAATATTGAATATTATACTTTTGTAACGCATTTGATTAATGTGTCGACCAATCAGTGGATGCTGATTTTTGTGAGTGGAGCGATTCGATGATAGACAAGCTGAAATAGAGTTGCAGATAAATTCAAATCGCCTTTAGCTCCTGTGTTGAGCAGGAGCTTCCATGTTTCTTCCGGTGACACGACAACTGACATTGAGATTCTGGATCCTTGAGGAAAAGAAGCGTCCCGTGTGTGTGGTATCCACCTGCGCGTATTGATCTCGGCTATTTTTAACAGGATTTTACAACCCCTTGCGTTCGACTCCTATGCCTCTTCAGATTCCCCTGTTCTGGTCATATGATCAATCATAGATGATGAATTTATTTCTTCTCGCAAGATGTTTGCTCTCTCATCTAGACCTCAATTTTCTTATTTGAAATATAAAAGAATAAATTATTTCCCTCATTTCTGAAAAATTGTTTTCATATAGACATCTTCATACGACTCTTTTTTATTAGTTTGACAATTGTTTTTTATCACTGGTGCCGAGTTAAACAATTTTTAACAGTGGTCTCTATTTATTTATCTGTTTCCAAAAGTGACATCTTTGTTTATATGCATCAGAATATGTATCTATATCAAGATCAGCAAAATTCGAAGAATCATTGACAAGTTATGAAAATATTTAAAATTTATTATTTGGAGAATTGTTGTTTACATATTAATCGTTTAATTTGTGCCAGATATCGTATTTTGCACCAACAGATGTCCAAGTACTTATTCATTTATAATCCTTATTTATTTATTTATTAATGTGGAAGTTGTTCGATATTCATATCAAGTATTTAAATATTTGGTATTACAAAGACTTATTTATTTACGTATTTATTCTTTGTAAATGACTCCCGGAATTTTCGCTCGATCGTCGCGTATTTTCCACGACTTTTCTCCAAAAGCAGAATAAACGGGTGAAGTTTTTGGCCGCCGATGTTGGCCACCCATTTATTGGCAAAGTTAGTTCCGAAATGTACCTCTAGGCGGCAGCCTATTGTTTCCTGCAAGTTCGTTGGAAATTCCGTGGAAATATTACCTCCTTACGAAAACGTGTCGGTACAAAGCAGATGCAATACGGATTCTTTATTGGGAACTGGGCCACGGATCAGCGATGCGTCACAAGATTCATTTTTATCACAAACCTATAAAGCTTTATCTCTTGCCAGAACTTCCGATAATTCAGTTTGAATCTCATTTCAAGTGTCTCTATTTTTATATTTTTAACAAACATATTTGGAAAAAGATTGAATTCTAAAAATGAAATAAAATCCTATTTTATTTTTTATTTTGCTCTTAATTTAATAAAAATTAAAATCAAATTTGAGAGACGTAATGGAACTGAGGGATAAGTCTAACAGATAAATTGGAATGAAAATTTTAACATAGGGTGTTTCCGCTTTTGCTCCACAGAAGTGCCTGACGACTCTGGACCTAACGTCCTTGGGGGTTGGCTCCTGCGTTGGGACAGGGATGTATCTAGTCGCAGGGATGGTGGCGCGCAGCGTCGCTGGACCAGGCGTCGTCATCTCGTTCATAATCGCGGCCATTGCTTCTATTTTTTCCGGTGAGTCGTTCGCCAGAACTTTTCCACTAAGAAGATAAAATGAGAATGGAGAAGGAAAGTATAGTAACTCTGTATGAAATATCGAAAATCAACGAGGTTGATACTTCTATGCGGAAAATGTTTGGAGAAAAGATAGTATACACAGCTGCGGAGGAGTTTGTTTTTCCGGAGAGCGTTGTTTCGTTATTGCTGCCAGCGAGAGTTCTCTACTATATTTACCGTGGATTACGTGGTCGGATTAGATTTACGGTGTTTGTGAAAGCCGTCGAAATCGATTCAGAGCCACGAAACATCGTGTCCAATTTTGTTCTCGCTCGGCAAAATTTAGCCAAGTGAACCCTGATGGTTCTCTTGCTGCCTTGTAAAAATCGCAAAATATTATAGCAGACAGCTTCACTCGATTGTAGCATGAAAAATAATCGTGGCTACCTTACGATACCTTTGTTATCGTACTTTTTACTAAAGTCTATGTACGAAGGTTGCCTTCTTAAAATGTCATATATAATACCGTTCTACTTTGTTGATGCCTACAGGCGATTGTATTCTACTTGGTAACTGTGTCAGCATGTCAGATTTTATAGAACCTGTCTGAGAATGTACAGCCTGGTTCTACTTATAGGCTGTCTGGACAGATATAGCCTCACTACACTTTTCTTCGTTTAACGTTTATACTTCATCAAATATTACTTGGCAGTTGTTTGGCTAATTGCAAAAATTGTTAACACTCTTGGCAATGAAGTTTCCACTTTGCAGTCCAATAGTGAACCATTACGTGTAGTCTATATTTTCATAATTAAATACAAGGCTCTCTTTGTAAAAAGGAGACTATAACTCTAAATTGGTCGAAGTCACGTTGTTTATGAAACTCTTTTAAAAGCGAAGACTTTTTGAAGACTTTTGGATGAACTTAATTCTTCTTAAATAATTCTATATCTCTATTTGCACATTAATTTATATATTACTTGTATATTATATTAGTGTATTATAATATATTTGGAAACAATTAGTATAACAGATATTCAATCTTTAATTTTGTGAAATAATAATATTCGTTGAATTTTAGAAAGTTTATTTTTTATAGAGAACTGAAACATATCAGTGTATAAAAAGAACAAACGATTATATTTTAGAGAATTGGATCGATCTTGAAATATTTGGAATATCTTCATTTTGAAAAATGATTGAAAAAATTCAATTTGTTTTATGAAATCTTTCGTTGTCGACTACTTTTTTTTTTAAATATTTCATACAATTACATTTTCCATTGCTCGAGAGGCAGAATTTAATTTCAACCTGATGGTTAGGAGAACAAAGCATGATCACCATAGTGCACGTTCCCCATACATTTCTGTCTGCTGACACATATAAGAAAGGACACGCATCGTGGCTCGAGGCGAGTGAAAAATAACATCGGATTAGATTTACGGGGTGCGCGTCAACCATACTTCCGTGACCTGAGACGCGTGAACCCCGTAGTCGCCCGTGGATATCTAGGTGGCGACCCCGTACGCTCGATTCCCGAATCGCTATATATGAAAGCGGAAAGATAAATCGCTTTCTTTAGCTTCGATTTTTATCGTCGGGCTACGATATCTTTCTTTTCTTCTTTCGTTGACTCGTGATATTTTTCAAGGAAATATAGAGGCTGTGGAATGAAAATATTCCGTGAGATTATGAGAGCCATGCCGATTGACGTTCTTTTGTTATGTACCGTTGAATGCTTGCTTTGGTAATTCCTTTCGGTTGTCTCCGTGTATTGGGTCACCAGAAGTAGGAGCACAGGGCGTATCAAAGGTAGTTGTGCATCGTTGACGATGGTTTTTAACGAGCTCCTTCCGTGACCAATAAAATTAAAAAGTTGTTCACGAGATATGCGCAGGGTAGTCAGTAAATGCTAGACCTTTTGAGAAAGAGAGTAAAAATTTGGCAGAATATTTAATATTTAATATCACTTAGTAGAAAATTCTATAGAAAAAAATGTTCAAAATAATAAAACGTTCGAGTATTTATTATAAATTAAGAAAAAGCGAAATATCTCGCGTAGTATTGAGTTTTTAATTGCCTTACTTTATATTTTTATTTGTAGAATGACCCAAGGTATCAATTTACACAGAAAGGTCATACCGACTATGTAAATAACAAAGTATAACAGTAGGTTGCAAATGCACTGACATATCTAGAGAGTTTGTTATCAAGGAACGCAAATGTTCCACCACGATTTTTAACTATACTCGAAACAGACATAACCCAGCTCAGATTTTAGAATCATCCTATATTTCGAAGCATGGAATACGTAACTCAACATTACAGTCTCTCTTTTCTCTTGTCTCTCTAGTTATTAGCATTCATATACATTTTTAAAACGCGAAGATAGCACGACCGACAATGACCATTTATGCGAACCACGAATGGCATCTCCTTTGGTGTCAAAATTTCCAAGTATTTCAAGTCCCGCAATGATATTTCCAGCGAGTATCAACACTATAAATATACGAGTATACGTGGAAATGCAGTTAATTAGCACGTTTCGAAATTATTCCGACGATAAAACGAGAATCAGGTATTTACTCCAGCCTGTCACAGCGAATGGAGGTAAAAAATGGAAAAAAGAGAATCGGGGAAAGGTCAACGCCATGAGGTTAATTAATTTAAATCATACCGGTCATGCTCGACGCCAATTAACGGCCTCTAACGTGTGAAGCTTTAATCAGTTGTTACATCAGATCGTGGCCGGTTATCGAGGCGAATCAGCGAATGGATTAAAATGTCGATAACGGACGTACGCGGAGCTGACTGCTAATTTATCATGTCATTTCGTTAATCGTCGTCATTGCTTCATTATTTCACTGATGTCTCTTTGGCTTTCGTTCCGCTGTGTCACGATGCATCAATTTTTCTGACGTAAATCGAAAACGTTTCTCTTCGCAAACGAGCTCTCACCCCGTTAAACGTAATTTTCGTGTTTTTTCAAATGTATCCTAAAATATCCTTAAATGATTGCTGCTCTAAATTTTTTCGTTTTGTTTGGCACCATTATATTGATCTCTGTCGCGTTCTGTCATACGTAAACACGAGCTTCCATTTGTATTGTCGCGCATGATAATGGACCGAAATTTGTTCCGAATTGAAATCATATCGTCTCCTGTCCTGCAACGGTCCTGGGATCTTGAAATGACGTTTCGTGTTGGTGTTACAGGAGCATGTTACGCCGAGTTTGGAGTACGAGTGCCTCACACGACTGGCAGCGCTTACATGTACAGTTACGTCACCGTAGGCGAATTAATGGCATTCATTATTGGATGGAACATGATACTGGAGTACCTTATAGGTACGAGCGCGTGTGCTTGCGCCCTTAGCGCCTGTCTGGACGCTCTCGCGGATGGCGCCATTTCCAAAGCGATAGCTAACAGCGTGGGAACTATTTTCGGTGAGCAGTTACGCTATTTACCCACGTAATCATACCTCTTCGTCATCCGTTAATAATACCTCTCGCAATTTATTGCGAAGCTGAAAGAAAATTTTCTCGATATCGGGAAGAGAAAAATGGCCCCTGATAAAAACACGATGACACGTTCCTGTATCTATTACAAATGTATTTATCACCTGGTAAAAATGGCACCATACGAAATATGCCAAGGGGTGCTGTTATTGCCTGCTAGAAAATGCTCCCTCGCAAAATGTATGGCAAAGAGGTACCTTTATCGCTTACTAAAAGACGACCGGTCGTAAAGAATGACAGAGAATACCACTGCTGCTTGCCAAGAAGCGTTCTTTTACAGAAGAGAGTAAAATGTGATAATACTACTTCACGCAGGCCTAATAATCTTTCTCCGTGTGTTACTCGTCATGAGACACGTCTCTGAAGAGAATTTGCATCCCTTGCGAGCACACTTGCTCAAAGACGGTTCATTTGAAAGTCTATTTCCTTTACCAGCTCTCGTCACGGTCGTTAGAAGACGGATAGAACGCTGAAGAGAATGTCCCGCGAAAGGCTGCTCTGCAAAGAGTCTTTCCTACGACCCAGGCTGATGAACCGCTGACTCGTTCTACTCGTTTCTCTCGCTCGGTGCCAAGATTATTCTACTGCATCCGATTATTGCGCCATGCAGGCACTTATTGTAGGGGCTGATTAAATAACTCAGGCAAGAAAACGGATATCCGTTCTCTCGGTTGCAAGTTGCATCGGACTTCAGAACGTCTGACCACGCACGTAACTGGAACATCGTATTCACGGTAAATCGATTGCGTGCAGGGATGATTCTATTCGGGTGTTTGGTCAAGTGACGGATTATTCCACTCACGAGATGTCGCAGTCACGTTAACTTATGTTACGAAATTTTGGATTACTCTATCGGGATATGCGTTCACCGAGTCTCTCGCGAGTTATAAATTTCTATAGAGGTATCAGACGAACAAACTAGATGAAACTACCTTACTAGATACCTGTGTTTCTTCCCTTTTAATTTTTTGCATAGAAACATTTAATTTTGCAAAAGAACTGTTGCCAGTTAAAAATGTTTAATCCTTGAGTTTTTGTTTTACAATTTTTCTATAGACAATTGAAATTTCCTTCTTGGTGAACCACTTTTTCATACTTATAGAATTAGGCCAACCTGGACCGCGTGAAAGTTAATATTTGAAATTAAATTGAGATAGGAAGTAATAGACGTCAAAGTGTGATTATAAAATTTCTAAGGGTGAATTTTGATTTTGGGAGTTAAACATTCTGTTTGCTATCTTTGGTAAGTGGTAGAAATTAATTTCGGTGCAGTCTTTTCTTCAATTTTATTCTAGCACACTCGATCCTACGTAGGATCTAATACTGATTAAATTATCTGACTATAAACCCACTTAATAATGACCGTTACGATTATAGCGAATTTTAATCAGGTTCTGGCTTCTCTGAACGACTCGAGAAGAATCGTCGCAATTGAACAAAGAAATTCGCCGAGTCCACAGAATTTTTCTTGCGACAGAAAAATCTGATAATCAAAGCCCAAGAAGTTTATTGCGAAGGAAGGTATAAACCACTGGGTGAAAAGGGTCGATTTAATTTTATGAAATTAATTTAACCGCGAACTAAGGTTCGACGGCCTTTGCAGCAATGGTGGTCGAAAAATAGGAATAGTCAGCAGATTTTCTCTATTCCTTTTTTTCACTTCGTCTAGCCTCCTTCGAGAAAATCTATGAAACTTCTTATTTTTATTTTCTACCAAAGGTGACTCGAAAAAAAATTTCAAATTTCCCGCTACCGGAATCTTGCCAGAAGGTTCGTTTGCATGTACATATCGGAATATCTTCCTGCACGAAATCATAAGTAATAACGAAATAACGGTATAACCGATAATAAAATAATTTATAAATATTAAAAAATGTTTCGGAGTAATCTAATTTTTATAAATGTTTGCACATCGTTCGTTTATTCGCGCGAGATTGCTATAATCGATATTCCACTCGTTAAAAGAAAAAAATTCATTTATTGATCAGTCGCTATTCCGACCATACTCCAATTAAAATACGTCCATTGAAATTCGCGTGTATTTCTACCAATTTATAACTTCGTATATTTGGAACAGAATCTTATGGTTTTTTCATCGACAATTTTTTCGAATTATTCACTGCCTATATTCAATATTTTGCACGTCTCATTAAGGATCTTTAAGAACCCATTTCCTTATGATATTATATTCCTGTAGAGTTGAATAGGCGGTATAATTACGAGATGAAATTAATATTTATTACCACTCGTTAAAATGCAAATTAGGCTATACGGTGCTTTCAAAATTCCATAAACCCTTTTCTTCGTATGAAATAAAATTTCCAAAGGCCAGATGTATTTTTACGCAAATAAAAATGAATTAACGAACGGGATTTAAAAGAAGAAAAATCCGAGGGTATAACACGCGGTCAATTTTGGAGAATGAAATAGTACGGGATTATTTCAAAATCTTCCAAAGCGGGAAAAAAGGGTGCACGAGACGAAAAAATCGGATAAAACGTTTCGGTTCAATATTTCCGGTCACCATTTTTTTTCTTTATCAAACTGGGTCCGTGCTAGAGTTCTTTTCTCTTTTTGTCAGCTATACTAAATTTCATACGAATTGGAGTTTCTGTTCCACGATCGATTCACGGATTAAAAAATCATTTTTACTTCTGTTTCGAACATTGTTCCTTCTTTTAACATTTATTTACTTAAATTTACAGCGTACTCGGCAATTATTTATTAAAGATAAACCAATGGCAGAATTATTTATATACGAACGCTCTTCTACATACTTTGCC